TGTGAGGTCAGGTTGATGTATTCATCAATTGTTGCTAACAAACTCTCAGAAGCCACGAGTCGTGGGCAACCAACTGAGAGGGTAAACTAGGTACTAAGAATTATTTACGTCGCATCACGCATTATCATCCAACGTTTTCATGCCTCTCCTCCCGTTTCATTATCCAACTTCAAGGAGCGGGGGTGGCAGCAGGCAAGCAGGCGCAAGCACTGCTAGCCTGAGCAACCTTATCCTCCTTGGCGCAGTTCTGCACCGCGTGCGCGGGAAGAACGCTAGCATCCTTGACAGGCTTGCTCAGAAACGACTTGCAGAAAGCCTGCGACTCCTCGAGACGGCCAGGGACGGAAGTGGCGCGGAACGAGCGCAGGCAGTTGTCGGCGTTGCAGACGGGGGCCTTGGGGCAGTCCTTGCCGGTCAGCTTGACAACGAAGGCGCCGCGCTCGATGGTGTTGATGAAGATGTAGCCCGAGGGGAAGTAGGCGTACGAGGACCAGGTGCCGACGAAGCCGACGTAGCCGCCGCCCTCGAAGTCGTCGTCCTCGGGGTAGATGTCGAAGTAGGCAGCCTCGCAGACGCCGGCGCCGGTGGGGTCGGTGGGGATGGAGGTGCCGTCGAGGACGCGGAGGCCGGCGCCGTAGTGGGATTGGTAGATGTAGTTGTCGATGACGTACTGGTTGTGGTCGATGGCCTTGGTGGGGTGCTTGAACTCTGTAATATTGTTAGTCTTCCGTTGTGCGCTGGGATAGGTTGTTTGTGATACGCACCTCCGGTCTGCTTGGGGTTCTCAAGGTCTCTGATGTCCCAGATGAAAGTGACGGGGTATCCGTCTCCGCCAGGGCCGTTGCCACGAACCTGTAGGATCAAAGTTTAGCTTTTGCTGATATTTAGTATGATGCAATTTAACGTACCTCATCGAGCTCGTCGTCGAGGACAAGGAACTCCTGGTTGTTCACATCAAGGACCCAACCCTGGTGAGTGTAGGAAGCACCCTCGTACGAGATGCGGGAGATGATGTTAGTGACGTTGGCCTTGTCGGTAACGTCGTAGATGGTGAGAGTATCCTCGTTGTAGCCGTAGCAGATGTCACGGCCCTGGTAGCGCTTATCGGGCCCACGGTAGACCAAGCACTGAGCGTCGTGGACGTATCCATCGTCCTTGGCGCAACCCAGAGAGACAGGGTTAGAAGGGTCCGTCAGGTCGAAGAAGTTTAGACCGGCGGCGCAAAGAGGGTCGGTACGGGGCGCGGCACCAACGGCGACACCGTAGTTGAGCTCCTCGTTGATGACAACGTTGTGAGCACGGCCCAGGGGCAGGAGGGCGTTGAAGTGACCGGTCAAGTCAGCCTTGGCGTCAAAGACAACGGGGTTGGCGGGGTCAATGTTCAAGAGCTTCTTCATGTCGAAGATCTGAATGCCGTGGCCAACGGCCTCGGAGCCAATGACCATGTAGTGCTTGTAGGAGCGAATCTCGCGCCACTCGGAGGGCGCCGAGTATTGGGGCAAGCGGCCGAGATAGACGAGCTTGCCGTCCGAGAGGATCTCGGCGAAAGCGGTACCCTCATACTGGCCGATGGCGACGAACTCACGACCATCGTCGTTGGTCCATCCCCACGAGGAAGAGCCCTCAGCAAGGGGTCCACCGAGGGCAGCGTGGCTGACAAAGGAGTACAAGTCGGCCTAGAATGTGTTACTCGAACGTCGATGCAAGAGCCATGTTTCTGGTGGGAACTTACGTTGTGACACCTGAAGGTGTTGTTCCTGTCTCCAACGACAGCCTCGGCCCAACCGTTTACACAGGGGGTGTAGCCCAGCTCGGGCCAGACCTCACTGTTGTAGGCACCAGCTTCTCTCTGGCGAGCGAACTCGGCCTGGTGTTCTTCATCAGTCCCAGTTCCTGTCGTGATCGTTAGAGTTTTGAGCTTACCTTCTTAGCAGCGATGACTTGTTCGTGGACCTTGCCAGAGTCGTAGAACTCAGCCGAGATGGCATCGTTCATCTGGATCTCCTTGGCCATCGCCGAGGCGGCGAGGACGGCAAGGGAGCCGAGGTAGGATGAAGCGCGGACCATGGTGCCTGATGTCCAACGCAAACACTCTGAGCGTGTTTTGCGTAATTGAAAGGGAGGATTGGACTGAGATGAGCGAGGGAGGTGGATTGGAGGCTAGATTCCCTTGGAGATCAAGACGAACTGTTTCGATGAGAGGTGGGCATGGTTCTGGATTTATATCCTGACCCATTAGTATGGACGGACCATAGTAACCAAAGTACCAATTGTGTCTGCTAGTCATTACTTCCTGTCATGGAAGCTTGATATGCAGTCATGTCGGGATGCCTGCTCGCGCCTGGGACTGCTGGAGTCCATCGATCTGGGCATTGTCTCGGCAGTACCAGGGGGACGTGAGTTGGTTCAGCAAATGTTCCTCGTGGAATTGCAACCATGGGAAAGTCGGATGCGACCAAGACATGCCAGGCTCACTGCACCGCAACATGTACTAGGCCATGTTGCCGGATGCAAGACAGACGGGCGGTGCAAACAACAGCAACGGTTGCCGGCCAGTCACAAACGGCGGCAGGGTAACATCGCACAGTGGGGAGCACTCCGTACAAGTGAGGTACCCAACTATCCACAGACGTAGCAGTGAGCGATAATTAACAAGTAATTCCGGACAACGGTTCTGCTCAATTGGCCACCCGCTGGAGTGTTCTTGGAGGCTCTTGGCGGGGATCCCGAAAGGGCAGGTCCCGGGATTAGTATGGCCTTGGCGGACAACGGTCCGGGGAAGCTTCGCAGTCACGGCGCAGGAATAGCGGGACTTGGAAGTCCACTTCTCCGGGATGGCCTCCTTTTCCTTGGGCCGCTTCATTTTGGTCTCTCTTGATGTCCTTCGGAGCTGGCAGCGTATACGAGGTACGCAATTACTTGTCTGCGCGATAAATGTCGCAAGTTGTCTCTTGGCCATCCAGAGATAGGAGTCTTTCCATCCCCACGCGCGTTGTTCTTGCCAGTGGCAGTTTCAACCAAACGGAGGGATTGAGCGCAGTCAGACTCAAGTTGAATATCTAATGTCATGACTGACTGTTCTGTTGCGACCAACATTGAGCTTCCACTCCGGATCTACGGATGAGTTGGGGTCTGGGGGCATGCTCAACTGCATGCGACCTCACCTCATCAAGCCCATGACGACAGCTCCCGCGTGGAGCCCCTAGGTGGCCGAGGCGTCCGAAGACTCTCCTTACGAAGCGCAGGACGGCACAAGAATGAAAGCGGTGATGAGGCTCGCGGCAGCAAAAGTTCTTTTGGTGCGCGATGCATCGGTGCCAAGACTGATAGAAGTGGACCAAGTACCTGAATCAAACAGGACGTCAGCACCTATTGGTTGGATAGAGACATGTTGATAGGCAACTGCCAAGCAAACAAGCGGCCGGTCCGTCTTGTCTCTCAGGCTGCCTTGTCCAGCAAAGAAGTTGGATACGATGGAAGGCCAGAGCTAGCCGTCGATGGCGTTGCTTTTCCTGACATGGGGCGCGATGGTTTCCCTGTCGTAGAACGGCTTTCGAGACAAAATGTCTAGGTCACAGCCCGTGGGAGATTACCAGGAAGCGCGCCAAAGTGTTAGTTAGAGGTAACCCGTATTAACTTTCTTTGATCGTCGACTGCCGTCTACGGATAGAAGCTCGGTGGGAATAAGCGACGACACCCGAACTCTATCTAAAAGTTAAAAGAGTTTATTTCCCCTTCAGGTACCTCCTGGCGCCTGCATCTGCAAAGTCAACAGGGATCGTATCAAGCCCCAGTGTGAATGGTTCCCCAAATCTCCACCTCCAAATTGGCTTCCATCGGCTCTTTTGCCTCACCTCCATCCATAATTGCCATTTTCTTACTCGGACTCGGGTCAGCAATGCAATGTTTACCCGTTTGATAGCTGCATGGAATGACGGGCTGGGAACGAGGCTAGGGAGCGTTGGGTTGAATCGACAGAGCCTGAATAAGAATGACTGAATCGACAGCTGAAGCGCACAGGCGAGGAAGACTTTACCCACTGGTCTGACTAAGAATACCTACGAGACAGTCAAACAAGCTGTCAGAACTGTCAGCATATGATCGTTACGCATTTGAGTCTTGACTATTTCCCATGCAGTTAACCATTGGTGCTGCTAGATTGCCACTGCCCCGATTGCTTCCCTTGAGCTGCTTCCCTGCGATTAAAAGAGGGCAACTTCTCGCTCGCTCGATTCGTAATGACTGACCCGACATCCTCACTATCTCCCCCGCTTTAACTGTCCAAGCCTCGCTAGACTTGAAATGGCAGGAGACCAGAACCATTACTTTGGACCAACATCACCAAGCCTACAGCCGATTCGATGTCTCCACCTCCACAAGTCATCCAACATCCATGATTCTCGTTTTATTTTTGAAGGTACTTTCGTATTCACAATCATACCCTATCAGCCAAGACTTCAGTCTCCAATTGTTGCGTTGGTCCATCCAGGTTCCTTTCTCTCGGGTCTGCTGTTGGAGTCCTCTTGAGCCAGCTAACAATGAGGGAATGCAACCTCCCGAAATTGACGTTAGTGCTCGTTGTCTTCACGACAGTCGAGCGTGCCGAGGTGGGCAGAATACCTGATCAAAGCCAAGAGTCTAGCAGCTCTCCAAAACAGCAATTCTCCCGCCGGCCCACACGTTGACCAGACGAAGAAAGCTGGTCGATGACGATAGATGAGAACGGCAAGACGTGATCAGTCTACGTTTCCCAGAATTTTCTGTGCGCAAAATGTTGTCTTCAGATCCAAAAGATTCTAAAGAATTCACTCTTCTTACAGGACTCGGGCTTACTCGACCGTTTTGCGTACTCGTGCTTGTGCATGGTAAATATCAGCGAGTGGCATTTGACATAGTCCACATTGGAGTCTTCCCGACTTGAGCCGCTCAGGAACTGTTGTACTCTGTACTCTGTAGGTAGCTTCCTCTCCTGATCAGCAACTCGCAATGATTCGCACTAGATGCCTGTTCGTTCTGTTGCATCCATGCACATGTGCATCTCGCGTGGCTGCACATGGTCAGTCTACAGACGCATGGGTATGCGGGACGGGAACAGCATGAACGTCTCCTCATTCCGCGCGGCTTCCGTCGCTTCAGCTCCATTCTCCCCCCTTGGGCTGATGTAACTGCAGCATTCTGCCTAGACCGTCGTTCTTAGACCTAGAAGCAGAGGGTGGACTCATGGGCCCAAAGAACGGATGATCGATCGGCATGGATGCGATTCGGTCCCTTGGCAGGGGCTGATCTGGGAGCTTTGAACGCAGATTTGACCGCCTGTCATCAGGTGCTCGAGGTGTATGACCCGGGCTTTGATCCAAACAGACGGAATGGAGGAATTGTGAGAAAACCAATGTTGGTTGGCGATTATTGCCGGGTTTGCTGTTTTTGAAGCCATTCCTTGGTACTTGCAACGTAGAGCCTTGCGATCCAGTAAGTAGATGTTGGTATTGTGATGATCACACGTCCCTTCAAGGCAACCAGCGACTCCCTGTGTACCTACCGTAAATAAACTGCAACAAAGACCAACGTCATCGCAAGAGACAACTCCGGAGCTGAATTCGCACTAAGTACTGGGAGGCGCAGAAATGGTTGCTTGCATACCTGTGCCATGTCAGGAAGTTGAGAGAAAAAATGCCTTAGTTCTGATGGGGCTATCACATCACTACAAACACAATACGATCTCGTATTCGAAGGTTGAATGCTTGTTATTACTTCTTGAACTTGTGCTCGAGGTCACACTCATAGATGTCCCGACTCCCGAGCGTTATCATTCCATGATTGCTTGCTCGATACGAGATCCATTACGGCGGCTGAGATTCGAGGGAGCGAAGAAGATGGGAACTTCTGATCTTTAAGTGCCAAAACCGGTTGATGCGATCAATTGAGCTCTTTGTCTCTTTGTGGTATTCAATGATCGTGAGCACCGACCTCGCCGCGTCGTCTTTGCAAACAGTTTCTGAATAACACTGGCAGCAGAGTGGTCTGATGACTCTGGTCCCATTTTCCTTTGTACGATCTTTTCGTGCTACCACTGAGCCAGTCATCTAGATGGGCAGAGGAAAGACTCATAAACAAGACTCACGACCCATTGGAACCAGTCTTAGTTTCATGCTTCATCGAGAACACGCTCTCTTCCATATTTTAATCCCTCGAGTCGGTACACCTTTTTGCACGTAATAACACAATGTACGGCTCTACTCTCCCCCTGATCATCTGCGCCCTTGCCGTAGGCCTAGCCACAGCCCACGCAGTCCCAATTGATACGACCATTGATCCGAGATCTCTCGATGAGCAAGGAAGAGAGAAACAGCCCTGGGCAGCCCACGACGTCCAATGTCACAACGAAGCCGACTTCCCGGGCCACGCCGATATCAACCCCAGCATGCAATGGGAAGCTTCGTTGAGTTTCTGCGCCAGCGACCAGGGCAAACGGATCTTCACGACGTACCATGACCCGGCGGAGAACCATTATCCGGTTGTTTTCAGGTCGCGCTACAGGTGGAAGGATAGCTGGAAAATCAACTACGACTTTTACGTTCAGTGGGTGGCTGGCTGCAGAACCGCGTTCGGTGCGCAGAGGGTCGATGATCCTTTGCTTAGCAAAGACGGAAAGCCGTCCTGTGCATCCATCATGAATGACAATTTCAAGAAGTGTAAGTCAACTCAGGCTACGACGCTATTGGATTTCAACCGTTTTAAGCAAACGAGCAAAGTCGAAATCAATCGCTACAATATCTGGCACTGAGCTAATCTTGCGCAATGTTCAGGCAACAACGGCGGCGTTGGCGGTGCAACCCAAGTCGGCTGTCTTCTCTACACTTTTAACGGTGGGAAAGGCGATAATCTACTCACGGTGGCCGAACTTGAACAACGCAAGATCTACGACAACAAGTACAGCATTACGAGGGGACCAGAACCCTGAGTCAGACGTAGATTTTCTCATCACCTGAAGACTTGGCACGGTTTGTGCTGGAGAGGGAACAGTTAGGACAGGTGTCGTGGTCGTGGGATGATATGGCGCTACTTGCAGGCTCTGCGCTACAGATGTGGTGTCTCTTATTCTATAATTCTCAAGTCAGTCTAATCCCAGGCAGCTATGTTGAGGCTCTTCATCAATTGCATAGCTTTTATGTTTCAATTCGTTCCAGGACGGTCAATACTTCTGTGGTTTGTTACAACTTCTCCCTCCCCAAGAGGATGCATCTTCACGTGAGGTAGAAATCCACCGCCCTTGGAACAAACCTGAGGCGTGCGTTGCATTTCAGATGATTCCATGCCCTGAAGACATTAGATAGTGCAGGCTAAAATTTGCTTTCGTTTCCTGGCCCCCTCTGACGCTCAATTTAAGAGTTTCACTCATCTATTATTACTGCGTCCTTTTCTAAACGTGGGCCACAGAAGTTCCGAGTATGAGTCTCGATCAGCGACATTGAAATCGGCTTTTTGGATCAGGTAATCTTGACCTGTTGATGGGATTAGACTAGACATTGCTCGATTTTCCGTTCTTGCGACACGCTTTGAGTTTACTCAATTGAGCTCAATATAGCTGATCACAGTTGTTGAGGAATTTACGTAATATCTCAATTGTGGCTTGAAGTCCTGAAGTTATAGAAATTGCGTCGTTGTGAAGAACCAAGACCAAATGCGATTGGTAGCCTGCAGCTTATGACTTCGGAACCGTTCCGTGGCAACTCGATAGGTGAGTGAAACCACTGGAGTAAGTAGTGTGGTGTGCAACAGTGTAAAGTAACTGTGAGCCCCTCAGCCCAAACTCGCTGTCCAATTCATACACGCCTATTCAATTATTCTCATTGAAAAACAAAATTTCCTAAGTCTCTAAAGTCTCTGGAGTCGCGCACAACAGACGGAGGATGTCACTGAGTAATTGCTGCAATATTGGTGGCTCATCAAACCCCACGAAGCAAGGCGGGTGCGGGTAGCACATGCGGGGAAATGTGCCGGAGGCCGGATCCCAGTCGGTATTCGGGGGTAGCACACTTCGTACTTAACCCCCACTCTTCCCCAGCCTGTCGAGTCGCGGTGCAGCGCAACTTCTTTGAACTCTAACGGTGGCCAACCTCCTGGCCAGATATTCTGTCGTTTCTACGACTCGTCTCGCACTCCACAAACTCTTCAAGATGACAGTAGAAGACGAGGACTTTGACCTGTCAGGTAATGAAGAAGCGCAGTCTCCCAAGGCAACATCGGGGGCGCGCAGGAGGTCGGTGGCTGGCTCGACACATCCCACGAGGTCTAAGCGTGCCAAATATGCAGCCGCTGCTTGGTGAGTGAAACCAAGTCTCAGGATTTCATAAGTGGAAGCTCACCATGAAATAGCACCGAGTGCAAGAAACGGAAACTCAAGTGCATCAGATTAGAAAATGAGGAAGAATGCCAGAGATGCATGTCAGGCGGCGTTTCATGCACCTTCGGCCCAGCTCCTTCGCAAGATGGCGCGACTGGTGTCAGGGAAAGGGTCAGAAGTAGGAGAAAGTCGAGGCAAAATAGGTCAGTACGCCCTCTTGTTCAAGTATGCTTGAAATGCCTTGTTTTAAGTGCTAATTCGCACCCAACAGCCAGCCAAGTACTGATCTCCGGAGCGAGCTCTCCATGCTCAGAGAGCAGGTGGCTACCCTCGCAAATACCGTAGGAAAGCTGGCCTCGGACAAGAGCCGTCAGGGAATGTCAGCCTCCCCAGGATCCCAGCAACAAATGTCTCTTCACGACAACTCTTCTGTACAGGGAGAACAAGAACCGAAGCAACCACAATTTGTGGGACCCACCAGATCAGCGTTTAGTCTCAAGGTTGCCGAAACGTCATTAACGAGGATGGGGATCTCAGCCCAGGATCCGGTCACGGCAGCGGTCAGCGAGTCTCTTGCACCGACCCGATACCCGACCCCCGAACAATCTGAACCCCCGCAGTGGGCACCTGGAACAGATATCCTTCTCACTATGCCACTTGAGGAATTCGTGAGACTTCTTGAAGTTTTTGAGGAAGAGGTTGAGATAGTCTACCCCTTTATCGACACGCGTGAGATGATTTCGAAAGCAGCAGATATTCGTGCGTACGTGGAAGCAAATACAGATTGCATGGCACCTGGCACCATGACAGGCGGGAGTGTAGACATCAAAGATGTCATACTCGCAAAAGTAGCTATAGCCATAAGCATGGTGGTCGAGGCGCATGGCAAGAACTTATCAAGCAGCAAGCTGGTTGAACCTGTCAAACATCTGATCTACCAGCTTACGCTCGATGCGGAGGCTGACCTCAAAGTCATTCAAATAATGGCTATGATTGTAAGTCCGACAGACCCGTGGTTTTGGTAGTCGAAGCGGCTGACACTATGAAAGAGTATCTACTACTTCTTCTCAGACGAGGAGTTACTCGCATGGAGAAACATTGGCATCGCAGCGCGAGCATCTCTGGAGATGGGCTTACATCAGAATCTGAGTCTCACAGACAATTTTCCAGACCCCAAGACGCGGAGTCTCGCAGTGCGGGTGTTCTGGTGCGTTTATGTATTGGATCGTCGCTGGAGTTTCGGAACCAGTCTATCATTTGCCCTGTTTGACCGAGATATCGATCCAAACTTGCCTGAGCCAGTGAGTAACCCTACAATTTCGTAAGAAGCTACTTTGCTAACCTGAGTTCCAGTCTGAAGATTTCCAATACCTTCGTTGTTTGATAGGTTACGGGCGTTTATGCTCCAAGGCATGGGACGCTCTGCCTCCATTCAGCGCACCATCTCAGTCTATTCCAAAAGACACGGTTGCGTTCCTTGACTTTACAGCGCAAACTTGGCTCAACTCAATACCCCCTGATCTTCAACTACGACATCCGCAACATGGCAGTATACCGACAGCTCAGCCCCGATCCATCCGCCGGCTACGAGCCCTCTTGTACCTGCGGGGCAATCACATAAGAACTCTGATACACCGACATCATGTCATCAGCTCTGCAAGCATCGAAGCTGATGTCGAGAAGGCACGTCTTGTCGTGGATATTGCTATCGATAGTATATCCGTCTTGGTTCATCTGAGCGAAACGAGCGATATCTACGAACGGCAGCAGAGCGCGTTCAACTATTTCCTGTTGAGTTCTCTGGCGGTCATCTTTCTTGCCGTCTGTCATGGCACCAGAATATTTGCCGAGCCATGCAGAGACAGCTTCCTCGCCGCGGTGGAGCTCGTCAAGTGTTTCTCTCGCCAGGGAACAGCCAGTCGCAGACTTTGGAAGAGCATACGGGGTCTCTTGCCCCTAGCTCATCGCATCGGGCTCCGCGGTGATGAAATCGCTGGTGGCCGACGTGCTGATGCAGGCGCGCAACAATCTTTGAACATCATCTCCAGTTCTTCTCACCCCATGGACACTGTGATTGAGGAAGAAAATCCCACGTCGGCTGTTGGTTTGGACTCGGAGTTTGCCCCGATGCCATCGGTACAACCCACGGGTATGAGTGCAGAGTTCGGTGCTGGAGCTCCAGATGCATTTGCTCTCAGCAACGACTTGATGTTCCTCTTCGACGCGTTTGGGCAGACGGAGGATATATGGGCAAATGGGATGCAGGACTGCGTGGGTGGCAACGAGCAGCAGCAACCATTGTCTGGAGAGGAGGAGATTTCACGTCACTTTTGGGGTTTGATTTAGACTGCTCTTATGGAATCGACCAAGGACATTTTTCAGCACAAGTCTTTGTAAATGTAAAATTACGGCTACTCGTCGCAACCTCTGGCAAAAATGGGTCGCAAGATTGCATTATCAGTGAGCAGGACAGCAAGGAACGAAAGCGTTGAGCCTTGGAATTTCGGGGTCTTCTAACGTATGGTAAAGCGTCCTCAACTGAGTCAAGTCACCCTTCGCTCACATTAGGGTGCCAAGGATGTAGAAATATATCTTGATCTTGAAATAAATCTTGCATTTGGTATTCATCCCCTGTTTAATTGGAAACTTCCTGTCAAGCTCACCTCCTCTAACCTCCCCTCCCATTCACATCAAGTACTTTCATCTACACCATCGCCCATCAACAATCCAAAAGCGCACCCATTAGACCTTCTCTTCGGTCGCCTTTAGCACATCACTCAATGTGCTAGTATCGCGAGGCACAAATCTCGCCTTGTACGGCCTAGGCATCGCTACAAGGGAAGTAGGATCGGCGTTGCCAGAAACGGGATGGTGGTCCACATCGTCGTGCTTCTCAATCTTGAAGCTATTGAGAAGTCTCATGTAGACGAGGTAGAGCTCGCGGTTGGCTAACAAAGAGCCAGCGCACATGCGGTAGCCGACGCCGTATGTGAACAACGGCGCGTCAGGTTGCTCGAACCACCGCTCGGGGCGGAAGACCTCGGGGTCGGTCCACACTTCAGAGTCTATGGGGTGTTAGTGGAGTACTTGAAAATTGAGGCTCAAGGTGAAGTATATGTCTTACCCATGTTGCAAGCCCACGCGTTGAGGAAGATGACTGATCCTTTGGGGATGACGGTCTGTCCGTAAGGAACATCACGAACCGAAGCTCGGGGAAGAGCAAGGCGAAGGACAGTGTAGTATCTCAAGGATTCTCGCACCAAGGCCACGATGTACTTGCACTGTTGGTCGTCCTCGGCGTCGCAGAGAGGTTGCTTCTCGCTGTAGAATTCTCTAATTGCGGCCGCAGCCTTGTCTTGGATGTCTGGGCGCTGAGAAAGCATGGCGATGAACCAAGCCACCTGGGTCGTGATGGTGTCGAGTCCTCCTGACAGCATTGTCAAGCTGATGGAGGTCAGCTCCGCCTGGTTCAGCTTCGCATCCTTATCCATGATGACGTTGGCCTGGATACAGGGCTTGTGAGTGCCGTTCGCCATGCGCTCATCCAGACCTCTGTTCAGGGCGGTCAAGTAGACATCGCGTCTACTACGCATCTCTCGTGCCTTGGCGGAGTGCAT